TGTGTACATGTGAATGGTCACCAATTCATGTGCATGTGTACATGTGAATGGTCACCAATTCATGTGAATGTTTACATGTGAATGGTCACCATTTCATGTGTATGTACGTGTGAATGGTCACCAATTCATGTGAATGTGTACATGTGAATGGTCACCAATTCATGTGTATGGGTACATGTGAATAGTCGCCAATTCATGTGCATGTGTACATGTGAATGGTCACCAATTCATGTGTATGTGTACATGTGAATGGTCACCATTTCATGTGTATGTACGTGTGAATGGTCACCAATTCATGTATGTGTACATGTGAATGGTCACCAATTTATGTGTATGTGTACATGTGAATGGTCACTAATTCATGTGTATTTGTACGTGTAGATGGTGACCAATTCATGTGTATGTGTACGTGTGAATGGTCACCCATTCATGTGTATGTGTACGTGTGGATGGTCACCAATTCATGTCAATGTGTACGTGTTAACGGTCACCAATTCATGTGCATGTGACAACAATGCTTGACACTTCGCCACTCACAAGGCTATGTCGTACTGAGGGTTTTCGGACAGTCTCTCCTAGCTTACTAGCCTACTGTTTATAAGCCTACTAGCCTACTGTTTATAAGCCTACTATCCTACTGTTTATAAGCCTACTAGCCTACTGTTTTTAAGCCTACTAGCCTACTGTTTATAAGCCTACTAGCCTACTGTTTATAAGTCAGGGCTATAAAGAGCCACTCCTTAAAAGACTGTGCTTGTTGGTGTTGGTGCTGGTGTTGGAATTAGTTAAATAATACAAACCTTTCCAGTAGAACCTGTACCGATTTGGAGGTCTTTCCTATTTATAACGTTTGTGGCATATGTGAATAGTCACTCGTTTGTTCGTGTGGCTATGAAATTCAAGAGGCATTCACGTTATTCTGACTGTCGCAGTCACCACGGGACGTATTTTATTGAGATTGTATATTAGAACTACAAGTGGTGATACTTATTGCTTTTCTATCTGCAGAAACCAATTACCCCATAACACAGGACATCCGCCATCTCTCTTCGTAAATGGACTGCAGCGAGTCTGCAAGAGTCACCACGGGACGTATTTTATTGAGATTGCATAGTAGAACTACAACTGGTGATGCTTATTGCTTCTCTATCTGCAGATACCAATCACCCCATAACCCAGGTCATCTGCCATCTCTCGTCTTAAATGGACTGCAGTGAGTCTGCAAGAGTCACAATGGGACGTATTCTATTGAGATTGCATATGAGAACTACAATTGGTGGTACTTATTGCTTCTCTATCTGCAGATACCAATCACCACATAACCCAGGACATCCGCCATCTCTCTTCTTAAATTGAGTGAAGTAGCGGTGAGCGCGTGGTGTGGACAGTTTACGTGCTATTATGCATGGCCTTGCAGACGCCGTCTGGGCCACCGAATCCGTTTCATACATTCACGTACATCAATTCAATCGCCATGCACACTCGCTCTCCACAAAGGACAAGAGGTAGCGAATACGTAAAGTACGCATATACAATATGGAACTATCCGCTCAAGAATACGTAAAGTACGCACATACAATATGGAACTATCCGCTCTAAAATACGTAAAGTACGCATATACAATATGGAAGTATCCGCTCTACCACCCTCTCCGATGCTGCTAACGTTTGGCTGCGTTGATTGTCAACTGTTCCGTCGATTGTGCAACATTCAGCGTATCCCCCGCCATCCCATTGCGTAGTCCTGTTCCGCCTATTCTTCTTTCCTGACCATAACAGTCAATGACCCCCCCCCCCTCCTCCCCCCATCCCATTCCTAAGCAGTTCCGTTCCCGTATACATGTGTTTTGCATACATGTGTTTTGCATACATGTGTTTCGCATACATATCTGTTTTGCATCCATATCCGTTTCCCATTCATATCCGTCTCGAATTCACATCCGTTTCCGGATCAGACCAGATCAGTCGCTGTAATCGCTTCCGTCCATTTCCTGGTCCGATGGCACCAGTGCCCGCCCCATGATCTGGCCCACCTCCTGACTGGTCATGAAACTCTTGCCATCGGCCTTGAGCTTGACCGTGTTCTTGTGTGTGATCTTGAGTTTGTACTCCTCGTACCTGGTCATCTTCATAGTCCAATACTCCACCGCCAGGGTCACTAGCAGTGTGAGCTTCTGGCCGTCTGCAACACTCAGCAGGTTCTTGCGCAGCAGCAGGTGCATGGGAAACACCGCCCACGCCCGGATCAGATTGGCTAGTTTCTGAAGAGGGGGTTGATAAAACGTATCCTCAACACAACGCAATAGGAAGATGTAACCACAACCACAACAGTACAGTACACGCGGTGAACGCGGAATATCGAACAGACGGCAGTGACAAGACCACGGCTTGGGACAAAGACAGAAACACAGACGAGGACTGGGCACACGAGTCAAGTGTGTAGCTGTGATGTACTTGTTCTTCTATGTGTACGTGTGTACGTGATTCTTGTTTATCTGTGATGCACTTGTTCTTCTATGTGTACGTGTGTATGTGGTTCTTGTTTGTCTGTAATGCACTTGTTCTTCTATGTGTACGTGTGTATGTGGTTCTTGTTTGTCTGTGATATACCTATTGTTCTATGTGTACGTGTGTATGTGGTTCTTGTTTGTCTGTAATGCACTTGTTCTACTATGTGTACGTGTGTGTGTGGTTCTTGTTTGTCTGTGAAATACCTGTTCTTCTATGTGTACGTGTGTATGTGGTTCTTGTTTCTCCGTATAATTGTACATACCTGTGCTAACCGTATGCCCCTGGCACAGATGCCAGACGTCGCATGCACTCTGCCGTCAGGCATGGTCACAGTGTGACCCGGGAAGTGCTTCCAGTCCTGCGATACGTAGTCGATCACATTGCCCATGCGTCTGATATCGGCCTCGCTCATGTGCTTGTATCCGTATTCCGAACGCTTTCGGTACATCTTCCTGGCATCGGTGTCGGAGCGCATCCACCCGGATGTCTTGAGCCAGCTGCGGGTGATCGTTTTGTGTAGTTTTTCATCTGCATGGGATGTTGGTGTGAAAACGTTGAGAAGTGGTATGATTGTGATGTAAGGAGGGGTTGGTGTGAAAACGTTAAGAAGTGATATGATGTAATGAGGGGTTGGTGTGAACGCGTTAAGTGTTATGGTTCTGAAGTCATGTGTTGGTCCCAATCGCAGCTGAACAACAAGCACGACGTAAGCGGATTGCATTGCAATGACAATCGCATCGCAGCAAATAGTCCAGACGTGTTGTCGATCGCGTTGTGTATTGCCGTTACATAGCACTGCCCATCTAACAGAGTCTCCACTTCATGCGTACAACACACAATATACAACAAACACACACCACTCCACAACCATACGCCCACGCTCGACATACGGTCTCTCAGCCGTCCCGTGACAATCTCGTCGCAGCAGATAGCCTCCACCAGCTGTCTGTTGCGCTGCGTGTCCACTGCCAGTGGCGGGTACTTCTGGCGCATTGCGCTGCCCATTTGACGCGAACATGACACCACCCGCTCAATGACCTCGGCTGCGGTGATGATAATCCTGGGACAGCAAGGCGTTTGAGTGGAGAGTAGAGGTAGTGTCAATACGAAGGGGTTGAGTGTCAATTGGAAGGGAAT